GTGGGTTTTTATACCTTCTTGGGCTTTTGTTTGGAGTTGTTCCTGCGGCATGAACTTTGACCTGAGTTTGAGTCTGCCTTTCTGGTATTCTGATGGTGGTGGGTTAATCCCATTATGTCCCAAAGGTCATATCCTGCTTCCCTGGGGCTATGGCTGATGAGTGTTGGATTTTTTGGTGTGAGGGATTGTTGATCCTAGGGATCTACATCTTTCTAATCCCAGCCTCCTGACTCCAATCTTTCTGACAAGATTATCACATCTGCATTTCTGCAGACCTGGTTTCTGTCTGGGGCAGAGAGACTTGGGAGGGGGTGAGTTGGTTTCTGCCTTTAAAATCCTTTGGGGAAATATAATATTCTGCCTTTTTAATATTTCCCAAAATATTTCTTTCTCTGGATTCTTCCCACAAAATGTTGCCCCCAAATGTTGCACCCATTCTATAATAATAATAATAATAATAATAATAATAATAATAATAATAATAATAATAATAATAATAATAATAATAATAGTAGTGAGGCACTACCTTGACGTGGTTGTGGGGCTTGTGTACTCTGAGAAAGATGAGAGCTATGCCAGAGGTTCAACCATACTGGACAGGTCTCATCAGAGGAGTCAGACAAAGAGTGTCTCTCCCATAAAAAATATGGTGAGACGTAAATTGCAGAATGCCATACCGGCTCGGACGTCGCCCGGGTTAACAAGGTCCGCGCTAGATATCGGAGTTCCTGGATATCTGGTGAAAAATGGGTTACAGGACTCAGGACTGTTGGCTGAGCAACCAGGGCCAGCAGCTGCAGAACTACTGGAAGAAAAGGTGTTTACCCGTCGCAGATACACAGTGATGGAAAACAAAGAAATAATGATCTGTTACTACAGATCAAGTCCAACAAGACGAGGATATCTAAAACGAATGCACCAATTCTGGAAAGAACAACATCCAGAATCAGAAATAACAGAACAGAGACTAGCAGATCAACGCCGATTTATAACACGAAATAAAGTATTTACAGAAACAGAATTGGACGAACTGCAAAGGTTTACCCAGGGCAAAGAAATCAAAGCCTTACCAGAAGTAATTCAGAATGTAGAGGCAAACCAGGGGGAGTTGGCAGTGAAGGAATCCAGCAGAGATATACAACTGTTCTCATTTGGAAACCAGGCACCTCTTCCTCAGGAAGAACAAAACCCTCTAACTAAAGAAATAAAAGAATTGAAACAAAGAATAACTGAGCATCTAGAACAGCACAAAAACAACAGAATAAGGCTGCCTGCATTGAAGCTTGTTCCAAAGAAACAGCTAGCACAAGCATTAAAAGATGCAAATACTGCAATATCAAGTATAAGCACCAATTCACTGCAAGAAACAAACCAACTAATGTACAGCACAGCTGCAGTTATAACTGAATACCTGGGATGCAAAATCAACAAAGAAGAAAAACAAACAAACAGTGCACCACAAAAAATTAGACTAGAAAATAAGATCAGCAAGTTAAGATCACATGCAAGCAAGCTAGAACAGATGAAAGAAAAGAAGCTGAAGAACAAGAAGACCAAAGAATACCTAATCAAGAAATACCACTTAGAAACAAGGAAGATCAAGGAAGCACTGGAAATAATAAAGAAACAAATAACAGCTATAGCCAGGAAAATCAGTAGATATGAAGCTCGAATTGCAAACTATAGGCAGAACCTCCAATTTCAATCCAATCAGAAACGTTTCTACCAATCCATCAATGGAGAAACTGCAAGGAATCAGTCAGTACCTGACAAGGAAGAAACAGTGCAGTTCTGGAAGCAGATATGGGATAACCCAAAGAAATACAACAAGGATGCGGCTTGGTTAAAAGAGGTGGAGGCAAATAAAACAGAAGTTGAAATGAAAGAACTAGTAATAACAACAAAAATGGTAGAAAAAAGAGCAAAGAAAATCAAAAATTGGTCAGCACCAGGTGAAGATGAACTGCATGGGTTTTGGTTGAAACATCTAACTGTTATACACCCACTCATTGCCAAGCAGTTCAACAATATACTACAAGGAGGAGAAATTGAAAAGTGGCTAACAACTGGGAAAACCTACCTAATAATGAAAAATCCAGCAAAAGGGGCAACACCAGGTAACTACAGGCCAATTACCTGCTTACCAACAACTTTCAAATTACTAACTGGTGTGGTAGCTGATGCAGTACAACAGCATCTAGTTGAAAACAATCTCTTTCCACCTGAGCAGAAAGGAAACCGCCCCAATAGCAGAGGAACAAAAGATCAACTCCTAATAGACAAAATGATCTTGGAAAACTGCAAGAGAAGGAAGACCAACCTGAATGTGGCATGGATTGACTACAAAAAGGCATTTGACTCTCTGCCACATGATTGGATAATAAAGTGCCTAGAAATAACAGGAGTCAGTAGAAACATCAGAAAATTTGTGCAAAGATCGATGGCACAATGGAAGACACAGTTGCAGATCAATGGTGAGAGACTGGGAGAGGTTAATATCAAGAGAGGAATATTTCAAGGAGATTCATTATCACCATTACTATTTGTTATTGCACTGTTTCCTCTGTCAACAATACTGAATAACTCAGGACATGGCTATCAAACATCAAAAACATCTGCCAGACTATCCCACCTCCTTTACATGGATGATCTGAAGCTGTATGGAAAAACATCATCTGAAATAGAATCGCTGCTCAACACTGTCCGTATATATAGCCAAGATATTGTAATGGAGTTTGGCTTGGACAAATGTGCCACACTTACTATCAAACAAGGAAAAATAGTGAAAACTGAAGGAATCAAGATGCCCCACGAAAATAACATTAAGAGTCTGGATGAGGAAGAGTACTACAAATACTTGGGTATCCTTCAAGCTGACAACATCAAGCACACTGAAGTCAAGAAAAAGATTAGAGGTGAATACATCAAGAGAGTGAAGAAGATCTTAAAATCCAAACTCAATGGAGGAAATACCATAAAGGCAATCAACACCTGGGCAATCCCAGTCATTAGGTACACAGCTGGAATAGTGGACTGGACTCAAGCAGAACTAAAAGCAATGGATAGGCAGACCAGAAAAATAATGACAATGAATCATGCCCTTCATCCACGCAGTGACATTGATAGACTTTATCTACCAAGGCAAATAGGTGGGCGTGGAATGCTACAAGTACATCAGATGGTTGAAGAAGAAAAAATGGCTTTGGAAGAATATCTGAAGAACAATGATGAAGATGCACTGAAATTAGTATATCAGGAAGGCTTACTAACTACTGGAGAGACCAAACTGGCCTACAAGAAAGACCAAATGAAGAACAGAATAGAGGCATGGGAAGACAAAGCACTACATGGCCAATACATTAAAAAAATAGCTGGGAAAGCAGATAATAATAAAACCTGGCAATGGCTAAGAGCAGGAAAATTGAAGAAAGAGACCGAGGGACTAATTCTGGCTGCACAAGACCAAGCCTTAAGGACAAATGCATACAAAGTCAAAATTGAGAAGACAGCAACAGACAGTAAGTGCCGCCTATGCAAAGAAGCTGAAGAAACAGTGGACCACTTGGTAAGCTGTTGCAAGAAGATTGCACAGACTGATTACAAGCAGCGGCATGACAAAGTAGCAACAATGGTGCATTGGAAGATCTGCAAAAAATATCATTTGCCTGTAAGCAAAAACTGGTGGGATCATAAAATAGAGAAAGTCATAGAAAATGATAAAATTAAACTGCTCTGGGACTTCAGAATTCAAACAGACAAGCACCTGCAACATAACACCCCAGACTTAACAATTGTCGATAAGAAAGACAAAAAAGTCTGGATAGTGGACGTGGCAGTGCCTGGAGATAGCAGAATAGAAGAGAAAGAACTGGAGAAGATAACAAAATACAAAGACCTACAAATAGAAATAGAAAGACTGTGGCAAAAGCAAGCAAGGGTAGTACCAATAGTAATAGGCTCCTTGGGTGCAATCCCAAAACAACTGGAGCACCACTTGAACACCATCATCGGCATTGACAAATTCGCTATTAGTCAATTGCAAAAGGCGGCCTTACTAGGAACTGCTTCCATCCTGTGACAATACCTGTAATACCATCAAACATTCATATCTGCCTATCCCAGGTCCTGGGTAAGGACTCAATAGGTAGACAAAATGCCAAATCGAGTCTGAACATCTGGCTGACTGTGCGATGATCCATAATAATAATAATAGTTGGAAGGGATCTTGGAGGCCATCTAATCCAACCCCCTTCTCAGGCAGGAAACCCTATACCATTTCGGACAAGTGTTTGTCCATCTCTTCTTAAAAACTTCCAGTGTTGAAGCATTCACCACTTCTGGAGACAGGTGGTTCCACTGGTTAATTGTTCTCACTGTCAGGAAGTTTCTCCTTAGTTCTAGGTTGCTTCTCTCCTTGGTCAGTTTCCATCTGTTGCTTCTTGTCCTGCCTTCAGGAGCTTTGGAAAATAGGTTGACTCCCTCTTCTTCGGGGCAGTCCCTGAGATACTGGAAGGCTGCTATCATGTCCCCCCTTGTCCTTCTCTTCATTAAACTGGACATACCCAATTCCAGCAACCGTTCCTTGTATGCTTTAACCTCCAGTCCCCTAATCATCTTTGTTGCTCTTCTCTGCACTCTTTCTAGAGTCTCAACATCTTTTTTTACATCGTGGTGACCAAAACTGGATGAAGTATTGCAAGTGTGGCCTTATCAAGTCGTAAAGTGGTATTAACCCTTCATGTGATCTTGATTCTGTCCCTCTGTTAAGGTAGCCTAGCACTGTGTTGGCTTTTTTGGCAGCTGCAGCACACGACTGGCTCATATTACAAAGCCAGCTTTTCACACAATGCCGGTAAGGGAGGCATCGCAGCAACCAGACCATCCAGCTCAACGCACACGTGTTATCCACACACATGTGTGAAGCTTCTTCCTTTAGAGATCCCCCTCTCCCAACATCAAAGAGCACACAACAAAGGGGTACGTGGTTGGTATCATCTTACCATAGTCACTTGAACGTCAGACCAAGAGTTGTTGGGCAAAAAGGTGGTCGGTTCTATCAGCGTCGTAGGGAAGAAAGGATTATAGTGACCGGTGGCCCCAAGAAACAGGCTCAGGGCCAAATTGAAAGGCAGCGTGAAAACGGGAAGGTCCCATTTGCTGAAGAGCGAGGCTAAAGCGCTGGTAAAGATAGGGCTGAAAAAGAAGAACAGGAACGATTGCAGATCATTGCCGAAAGTATATGGTCATTTTTGCTACACACTTTACCAACATTGTGGCTTTTTAGAACATAGAACATAGAAGCAGAGGATTGGGAGAGACTTCAGAAGACTTCTAGTTGAGAGGTCCCCATCCTTTTGGGCATCAGGGACCGGTTCCGTGGAGAGAGGTTTTTCCGCGGACCGGAGGGCATGTGGTTTTGTGTGCTGCTTGCATCCCGTGGGTGGGGCTTTGCTGGTTTGTGTGGACCGGTGGCTGGCATGCCGTGGCCCAGTACTAGTCCACAGACCAGGGATTGGGGACCCCTGTTCTAATCCAATTCTTGCTCAAGGCAGGAGACCTTATTTCATCCCAGGAAAATGGTTATCTGGTTTATTTTTTGCAAAGCTCCAATGATGGAGCACCTTCAACTTTCAGAGATAAGTCATTCTGCTGATTACTTGTTCTCGCCATCAAGAAATTTGTCCTTACTTCCAGACTGGATCTCTCTCTTTAACAAGCTTCCACCCATTACTTCTTGTCCTGCCCTTTGGTGCTTTAGAGAATAAGTTGACCCCTTTTTCCCTCAAGTATTGGGAGACAGCTGTCATGTCTCCCCAATCCATCTGTTTGATAGATAGACTTACCTACCTGGTGCTCCTCAACCGTTTCATCCTATGCTTTAGCCCCCAGGTCCCTGATCATCTTTGTTGCTCTCCTCTGCACTGTTTCTAGGGTCTCAACATCTTTTTTACATCGTGGTGACCAAAACTGGATGCAGGATTCCAAGTGTGGCCTTACCAAGGCCTTGTAAAGTGATATTAACACTTCACGTGAACTGGATTCTATCCTTCTGTTAATGCAGCGTAGCACTGTGTTGGCTTTTTTGGCAGCTGCAAAATTCCTTTAGACCAGTGGTTCTCAACCTTTTTAATGCCACGACCCCCAACCGGTCGTAAGTCGAGGACTACTCAACCGATCGTAAGTCGAGGACTACTCAACTGGTGCAGCACCGTTTGCAGAATGGGACTTTTGGTGGGCTCAGCAGGGCAGAGATAGCTTGGACCATTCCTATGGGCTTTGGAAAGCCAATAGAATTAGACTCTATTCAAGAGAGTCTATTCTATTGGCTTTCAAAAGCCAATAGAATAAAAGGGAGTAGCACAGCTAAGGAAAAGGGGAAAAAAAATGGCGGACTACGTTGTTTGGCGACCCCCGTGAAATGGTCGTTCGACCCCAAATGAGGTCCCGACCCACAGGTTGAGAACCACTGCTTTAGACACAGCTCCCACAGGAGGCTGGAGCTGATGGGATTAGAAAAACAAAGACTCCTAAAATCTACATTCCCCACCCAGCTCCAAGGACAGGGCATGACCTCCCAGCCACAGTGGGAGTCAGGCAACAATAGTTAGAATACTAAAAGGGCACAATCAAGCACAGGTCAAAGTACATTTCAGAAGGAAGAGGCATTCAAACACAAAGCCCCAAAGAATGTATAAAAACCCACCTACTCTCAACTCCATTTTATTTATTTATTTATTTTATTTATGTATTTATGAGACTTATATACCGCTTTAAGCGCAAGCACTCTCTAAGCGGTGTACACCAGTAAGCAATGTATATATATATTTACATTGCCCCCAACAATCTGGGTCCTCATTTTACCTACCCCGGAAGGACGGAAGGCTGAGTCAACCTTGAGCCGGTGAGATTTGAACCGCTGACCTGCTGAACACAGTCAGTTAAAGTGGCCTGCAGAACTGCACTATAACTGCTGCGCCACCTCGGCTGTCCCAGAACTGCCTGCTGTGGTTGGTTCTGCTCATCAATAGACTTCCTTTCCTAAGCAGCTAGCCTCCATTTCATTTTTCAGCATCTTTCTCCCGGCTTGGAACCGGACCTGATTTTTCTTTCTACACCTGTATCTATTTGCTTTTTCCTGCCTTACTTTTTTCACCACTGAACTACATCAAACTTCAGAAACTCCAGGAAAAGAAGAATCTTTTTTATCCATGATTCTGGGATAGGAACTGGAAGTCCGAGACTTTCACCGCAAAAAATGCTTTGAAGGTACGTGACGATTTCAGCCTCCCCTTCTCTTTTCTTCAGCAAGCAAATGCAAGCAGCCCAGCTGTGAGTGAGCTCTAAATTGATAGACTTTTCTCCATATGAAGAAGAAATCAAAACATGTCACTGAATTCCTTGGAATAACAATGGTCTTCCTCATTGCCACTATAGTTCCTAAAGCAAGCAAGTCCCAAAGCTGTTTTTTTTCAAAAGGCAACTGGCCTTTGTTTGTTCTTGCTTGAGGACATTAAAATAGAATAGAGCTGGAAGGGACCTTGGAGGTCTTCTAGTCCAGCCCCCCACTTAAGCAGGAGACCTATATCAGGCAACCTTGGCTCTTTTATGACTGATGGACTTCAACTCCCAGAATTCCTGAGCCAGCATGGCTCAGCTTGGAAACCTCTCCCTTTCCCCTCAGCATGGCTGCCTCAGGAATTCTGGGAGTTGAAGTCCATGAGTCATGAGGGGACCCATAGTTCCCTCATGCTGGCTCAGGAATTCTGGGAGTTGAAGTCCACGAGTCATGAGGAGACCCATAGTTCCCTCATGCTGCCTTAGGAATTCTGGGAGTTGAAGTCCACACGTCTTAAAGTTGCCAAGCTTGAAGACCCCTGATGTAGGCGCAGGAGTAGGGAACCTCGGCTCTTTTATGACTTGTGGACTTCAACTCCCAGAATTCCTGCGCCAGCATGGCTCAGCTTGGAAACCTCTCTTTTTCCCCTCAGCATGGCTGGCTCAGGAATTCTGGGAGTTGAAGTCCACGAGTCATAAAAGAGCCAAGGTTGCCTACCCCTGACCTATACCATCTCAGACAAGTGACTGTCTATCTAGCCTCTTCTTAAAAACCTCCAGTGATGGAGCGCCCACGATTTCTGGTGGCAAGCTGTTCCACTGGTTGATTGTCCTCACTGTTAGGAAAATTCTAGGTTGCTTCTCTCTTTGTTCAGTCTCCAGCCATTGTTTCTCGTCCTTCCCTCTGGTGCTCTGGTGAATAAAGTGACCCCCTCTTCTATGTGGCAGCCCCTCAAATACTTCTTCAGTCAGAACTGAAGAAGCTTCTTGGAGAAAAAGTAAAATGCCTTCAAGCAAGAGGAAAGAAAATCCAGTTACCATTTGGAAAAGTATTTTTGGGACCTCCGTGATCTGGTTGACTGAAAATCTCCATAGACAATGCAAGTAAGCTTATCTGGAATGCAACGGGGAACTAGGTTTAGGACAGTGGTTCTCAACCTTTTTAATGCCGCGACCCCCAACCGGTCGTAAGTCGAGGACTACTCAACCGGTCGTAAGTCGAGGACTACTCAACTGGTGCAGCACTGTTTGCAGAAGGGGACTTTTGGCGGGCTCAGCAGGGCAGAGACAGCCTGGACAATTCCTATTGGCTTTTGAAAGCCAATAGAATTAGACTCTATTCAAGAGAGTCTATTCTATTGGCTTTCAAAAGCCAATAGAATAAAAGGGAGTAGCACAGCTAAGGAAAAGGGGAAAAAAATGGCGGACTGCGTTGTTTGGCGACCCCCGTGAAATGGTCGTTCAACCCCAAATGGGATCCTGACCCACAGGTGGAGAACCGCTGGTTTAGGATATATGTTCTTGATCTTTTCCTGGAAGTGATGGACAGTGCTTTAACTTGACTCCGGAGAAAAGAAGAGAGCAGAATTTAGGAAAAAAGGAGAGAGAAAACTACCAGATAATTTATATAGACTCACCAGGTCATAGACATGAGCATAACAGGAAGTAGAAGCCACCAGTAATATTCACCCTTGTCTAAGAAGACGGCCATCAGCATCCCTACAAGGACACCGTTGTAGCCGTGCAGTCCAGCAGCAACGGAAGACCTGTGTAGCAAGGTAGAGAAATTACGTTGCGAATGTAGAAGGCAGACACACCTAGATGGATGTGCTTGAACGTCACACAAACTCAAGCAGAGCTATCATTTCGAATGTGCACATCTTCAAAGTCAAGCCATTTTTTTAAAAAAAAAATGAACAAAATTTCATTGTGTGGGCGGCTGTAGAAATTGAGCGACGAAATAATTGTTACGGTCTCTGGGCTCCAGAAACGTTTCTTTAATTTCAGTAAATCTCATCTTCTAAAATGAAAAAGGGCCTGGTCTTCTTACTGGTTTAGAATAGAATAGAATAGTAATAGAATAGAATAGAATAGAATAGAATAGAATAGAATAGAATAGAATAGAATAGAATAGAATAGAAAATATGGAATAGAATAGAATAGAAAATATGAAATAGAATAGGAAAATATGGAATAGAATAGAATAGAAAATATGGTAGAATAGAAAATATGAAATAGAACAGAATAGAATAGAATAGAATAGAATAGAATAGAATAGAACAGAATAGAATAGAAAATATGGAATAGAATAGAAAATATAGTAGAATAGAAAATATGAAATAGAATAGAAAATATGGAATAGAATAGAATAAAATAGAATAGAATAGAATAGAATAGAATAGAATATATGGTAGAATAGAAAATATGGAATAGAATAGAAAATATGCTAGAATAGAAAATATGGAATAGAATAGAATAGAATAGAATAGAATAGAATAGAATAGATCTGGGAGGGACCTTGGAGGTCTTCTAGTCCAGCCCCCTGCTCAAGCAGGAGAAGCGGATAAATTACAGGTTTTTTTTACCCTCGTTTGAAAACTGTATTTGAGCTTAGCTGATTACCTTTTTTAATGTAATCTTACATTGTAAAGGCCAGTCAAATCATAATAAAATATTTGATAGGAGTTGATGGCATAAATATTGTCACTTAGGAGAAATCCAGTGGCTAATTTCATCTGAGCATTGAAAGAGGAGGAGGAGGAAAAATTAGAGGACCACCTACCTCTCCTGACTTAGAATAACTGCCGTTAAAGTTGAGACAATCCCTCCAATGCAACACATGAGTGTCAGCCAAGGACTCTGGACCAGGAATCCAATGAGCAGGATGAGGCCACTGAGAGGATTGTTCACAAACATCACTTGAGAGATTCCGCGCAGAAGCCAGTCAACAAATTGGAGGGCCACAGGCTTCTCTGAAAGACAAAGCATTTGACAATGTTTCATATGATATGTGTCAACGCTGCTAACATCGGATGTTTTTGCTTTGACAAGAGTTAGATGATGCTAGGGGGAGGAATGGGCATGAGACTTTAGCTAGATATAACAATACTGGACCTAGTGTGAGAACCAAGGTTATTGAAATAAGAGATGATAAGAAATGGCAGGTTGGAGAAGTGGAGGGAAAGCCTGCATTTCAAACTAATTGGAGAATGTGATTTATGACGGTTAATTGGAGGAGGGAATTGTGCTTTGATATTATGTGCTCAGGGGAGGGGAATTCAGATTTTGACTTCGGTTGTGTTAGTGCCCACGCTATGCTACTCGAATAAAGATTCTTTAAAGTAAACAATGCCTCGAAGTTCTTTGAAGAGTTTCATCTGTCGAAACCATGACAATATGATATATGATGTATGAGGTATGATATATGATATATGATGTATGATGTATGATATATGATATATGATGTGATGTGATATGATGGTATGATATGGGTAATATATAGAATAGGAGATCTTGTGGAAAGGAATATAGAGATGATCTTGAAGGAAGGAAGAAAGGAAAGAAGGAAGGAAGGGAGGGAGGGAGGGAGGGAGGAAGAAGAGAGAGGGAAAGAAGAAAGGAAGGAGAGAGGGAAGGAAGGAGTGAAGAGAGAGGAAGAAGAGCAAGGGAAGGAAGAAAGGAAGGAGAGAGGGAAGGAAGGAGAGAGGGAAGGGTGAAGAGAGAGGAAGAAGAGTGAGGGAAGGAAGAAAGGAAGGAGAGAGGGAAGGAAGGAGTGAAGAGAGAGGAAGAAGAGCGAGGGAAGAAAGAAAGGAAGGAGAGAAGGAAGGAAGTGAAGAGAAGAGAACAAAGGAACGAAGGAAGGGAAGGAAGGAAAGAAGGAAGTAAGGAGGGGAGAGAGAGGGAAAGGAAGAGGAAGGGAGGGAAGGGAGGAGAGAGGGGAAGGAAGGAGAAAGAGAGAGGGAAGGAAGGAAGGAGTGAAGAGAGAAGAGAGCAAAGGAACGAAGGGAAGGAAGGGAAAAAGGAAGATGGAAGAAAGGAGAGAGAAAGAAGGAAAGAGAGAGGGGGTGAAGGAAGGAGAGAGGGAAAAGGAAGAAAGGAAGGAAGGAAGGAAGGAAGGAAGGAAGGAAGGAAGGAAGGAAGGAAGGAAGGAAGGAAGGAAGGAAGGAAGGAAGGGAGATACAGAGGGGCTAAAAAAAGGTGACCCTCCAGTACAGATTTTACAGCCCGTGTATCTTGACCCAGCTTATTGACCCAGAGAGTTGCAATTTCTTTTTTCTTTTTTAATGACAAAACTGCACAAAACGGGTGACAGCCTACAGCATGCTGGTCCTCCATAGTTTTTCCTCTGGCTGTTTTCAGTGCCCTGCGCTGATCCATCCTGGGGTCCAAAGACAATGGACAGACCCAATGGTGCTTGCATGCTAGGACAGAGGAAGCAGTCAGGCGAACTACAGTAAATGAATATTGAAATGTTGTGATTTGGCAACACTAGTATGGTCATTCTGCTGAAAATAGCACAATGCGGACGCTGCCGGACAAAAGAAGCAGATTTCTGAATCCAGGGTTTCCCAACCTGGGCAATCATCCTGGCTGGCGAATTTTGGGAGTTGAAGTAATAATAATAAGAATAATAGTAGAGTTGGAAGGGACCTTGGAGGTCATCTAGTCCAACCCCCTGCTCAGGCAGGAAACCCTACATCATTTCGGACAAACGGCTGTCCAGTCTCTTCTTAGAAACCTCCAGTGTTGGAGCATTCACAAGCATCTTGAAGTTGCGAAGGTTGAAATACTGGTCTAATGTATTGTTTCTCCGGATCCAGCCTGTTTTTTCTGCAGAGTGGATGGCTGGGAAAACTTGAAATATCCTAGCTTGGGGAATTCTTGGAGTTGAAGTCCTTGAACGTTGCCAAGGTTTGGGAAAACCTGAGATAGTTGATCAAGGGTCTACCTGGATGGACGCTCTGCTTGATTGTCCTTTTAACACCGCTTTCTTCTCTACTCTGAATTATCTTTGACCTGGAGACTAGGAGACAGCCCAACACATTGTGTATTCGTTTTTGCGTTCGGCAAAAGGTTTAACAATTCTTAGGAGGTGCAATTTCAGTTGCTTATTTGCAGCGCAGAGGTCAAAAACCTCGGCCGGGATGGTTTATAAAAGGGATCATCACCATAAAGTGCAAGAATACTATGCGGTAATAAAATGCGTCCTTTGTGGAAAAAAAAATAGCAACAATAACACAACGCCAGTTTCCAGTAGTGACTAAGGTGCAAGCCTAGAGGAGAATGGAAGTTCTAGTTCTACCTTAGGCACAAAAGCCGACTGGGTGACTTTAGACCAGGGGTAGACAACCTTGGCTCTTTTATGACTGGTGGACTTCAACTCCCAGAATTCCTGAGCCAGCATGGCTCAGCTTGGAAACCCTTTCCCCTCAGCATGGCTGGCTCAGGAATTCTGGGAGTTGAAGTCCACCAGTCATAAAAGAGCCAAGGTTGCCTACCCCTGAACTAGACTCTAGGCCTAGGGTAGGGGTCTTCAAACTTGGCCCCTTAATGACTTGTGGACTTCAACTCCCAGAATTCCTAAGCCAGCCATGCTGAGGGGAAAGGGAGAGGTTTCCAAGCTGAGCCTTGCTGGCAGAGGGAATTCTGGGACTTGAAGTCGACAAGTCATGAAGGGGCCAAGGTTGCCTACCTCTGGCCTAGGCCTAGGCTGCTTTATGACTCGTGGACTTCAACTCCCAGAATTCCTGAGCCAGCCATGCTGAGGGAAAAGGGAGAGGTTTCCAAGCTGAGCCATGCTGGCAGAGGGAATTCTGGGAGTTAAAGTCCACGAGTCATAAAAGAGCCAAGGTTGCCTACCTCTGGCCTATGACTCGTGGACTTCAACTCCCAGAATTCCTGAGCTAGCATGGCTCAGCTTGGAAACCTCTTCCTTTCCCCTCAGCATGGCTGGCTCAGGAATTCTGGGAATTGAAGTCCACCAGTCTTAAAAGAGCCAAGGTTGCCTACCCCTGCTTTAGACCAATGATCAGGGCGCTGAGTTCTAGTCCTACTTTAGGCATGAAAACCGGCTGGGTGATTTGAGCCAATCGTCAGGAGACTGAGAGTTCTAGTCCTGCCTTAAGCATGAAAACTGGCTGGGTGATTTGGGCCAATCACCAGGAGACTGTGAGTTCTAGTCCCGCTTTAGGCACAAAAGCTGGCTGGGTGACTTTGGGCCAGTTACCAGGAGGCTGTGAGTTCTAGTCCCGCCTTAGCCATGAAAACCAGCGGGGTGATCCTAGGCCAGTCACCTTCTCTTGGCCCAACTCACCTCACAGGGTTGTCGTTGCAGGAAAAATAATAAGACGTGCGAGTATCATATATGGTCTCTGCAATTAATCATGGAACCACCTGCCTCCGGAAGTTGTGAATGCTCCAACACTGGAAGTTTTTAAGAAGAGACAGGACAGCCATTGGTCTGAATTGGTCTAGGGTCTCCTGCTTGAGCAGGGGGTTGGATTAGATGACCTCCAGGGTCCCTTCTAACTCTGTTATTCTGTTAAAATGGGTCAAGGCAGGACCAGATTGCATAAATGCCACCAATGAGGATACAATGTCAAAATATAGAAGGAATTTTGGAAAAAAAAAAGTAACTCATCCGATCTTCCACAATTCCACAACAAGGTGTTTTTTTTCTTTCCTGTTGTTTTGAAAGTTTATCAGCTGGAACAATTGCCAAATTGTGTATATCTCTGGCAACATCTGGTGTGGCTCTTACTGCCAATAAGGTTGCAAAATATGACACACATTTATTGTTCTTTGCAAAAACATCATGCAACTGGGAAGTTGATTGAGCGCCTCAGTTCATGCGGAAGATACAAAACAGTTTAATTTATGTTGCTCGCCTGGAAGCTGGCAGATGGCCTGAACATCTCTAGACCAGCTTGTGTTGGGATTCTGACACACCCTCCGAGTGTATAATTTAACATCCGCAGTGATGGGCAGGCAGGCGAGGGGAATGCGTGATGTGGGATGGGGCTTTGGAGGGGGAAAGAGAGGGCTGAGAGAGGATGCTTGAGCATAAATAACTTGTGATGTATTTATAAGGTAAAATAAGGGTCAGCCTAAAGCTCATCATAGGATGAGCAATGACAGCTTTGGGTGGTGGAGAAAGAAAGAAAGAAAGAAAGAAAGAAAGAAAGAAAGAAAGAAAGAAAGAAAGGAAGGAAGGAAGGAAGGAAGGAAGGAAGGAAGGAAGGAAGGAAGAAGGGAGGGAGGGAGGAAGAAAGAAAGAAAGATGGAGGGAGGGGAAGGAAGAAAGGAAGGAACGAAGAAAGAAAGGAAGAAGGAAGGAAGGAAGGAAGGAAGAAAGAAAGAAAGAAGAAGAGGGAGGGAGGAAGAAAGAAAGAAAGATGGAGGGAGGGGAAGGAAGAAAGGAAGGAAGGAAGGAAGAAAGAAAGGAAGGAAGGAAGGAAGGAAGGAAGAAAGAAAGAAAGGAAGAAGGGAGGGAGGGAGGAAGAAAGAAAGAAAGATGGAGGGAGGGGAAGGAAGAAAGGAAGGAAGGAAGAAAGAAAGGAAGGAAGGAAGGAAGGAAGGAAGGAAGAAGGGAGGGAGGGAGGGAGGAAGAAAGAAAGAAAGATGGAGGGAGGGGAAGGAAGAAAGGAAGGAAGGAAGGAAGAAAGAAAGGAAGGAAGGAAGGAAGGAAGGAAAAGAAAAAAGGAAAGGTAAGAAAAGAAAAAAGAAAGGAAAGAGAAAGAAAGGAAACAAGAAGGAAAGAAAAAAAGGAAATAAGGAAGAAAAGGAAAAAAGAAGAAAAAAGGACGGAAGGAAGGAAGGAAGAAAAAAGAAAAGGAAGAAAGGAAAGAAGAAAAGACAAAAGAAGGAAGGAAAGAAAGAAAGGAAAACAAGGCAAGTAAGAAAAAAGGAAAGAATGTCAGAAAGGAAAAAAGAAAAAAGGAAGGAAGGAAGCAAGGAAGAAGGAAAGAAAGAAGGAAGGAGATGGAAAGGAAGAAGTAGAGATGGATGGATGGAGGGATGGATGGATGGAGGGAGGGAGGGAGGAAGATGGAAAGGAGGAAGGAAGGAATTAAGGAAGGAAGGAAGGAAGGAAGGAAGGAAGAAAGAAAGAAAGGAAGAAGGGAGGGAGGGAGGGAGGAAGAAAGAAAGAAAGATGGAGGGAGGGGAAGGAAGAAAGGAAGGAAGGAAGAAAGAAAGGAAGGAAGGAAGGAAGGAAGGAAGAAGGGAGGGAGGGAGGGAGGAAGAAAGAAAGAAAGATGGAGGGAGGGGAAGGAAGAAAGGAAGGAAGGAAGAAAGAAAGGAAGGAAGGAAGGAAGGAAGGAAAAGAAAAAAGGAAAGGTAAGAAAAGAAAAAAGAAAGGAAAGAGAAAGAAAGGAAACAAGAAGGAAAGAAAAAAAGGAAATAAGGAAGAAAAGGAAAAAAGAAGAAAAAAGGACGGAAGGAAGGAAGGAAGAAAAAAGAAAAGGAAGAAAGGAAAGAAGAAAAGACAAAAGAAGGAAGGAAAGAAAGAAAGGAAAACAAGGCAAGTAAGAAAAAAGGAAAGAATGTCAGAAAGGAAAAAAGAAAAAAGGAAGGAAGGAAGCAAGGAAGAAGGAAAGAAAGAAGGAAGGAGATGGAAAGGAAGAAGTAGAGATGGATGGATGGAGGGATGGATGGATGGAGGGAGGGAGGGAGGAAGATGGAAAGGAGGAAGGAAGGAATTAAGGAAGGAGGGAGGGAAGGAGCAAGGGAGGGAGAAAGGAAGGAAGGAAAATAAAGGAGAAATAGGGAGGGAGCGAGGAAGGAAGGAAGGAAGGAAGGAGAAGAAAGAAATAGGGAGGAAGGAAGGAAGGAAGGAGAAGAAATAAGGAGTGAGGAAGGAAGGAAGGAAGGAAAACGAAAAAAGGTAAGGTAAGAAAAGAAAAAAGAAAGGAGAGAAAGAAAGGAAACAAGAAGGAAAGAAAGAAAAAAAGGAAAAAAGGAAGGAAAGGGAAAAAAGAAGAAAAAAGGAAGGAAGGAAGGAAGAAAAAAGAAAAGGAAGAAAGGAAAGAAGAAAAGAAAAAAGAAGGAAGGAAAGAAAGAAAGAAAGGAAAAGAAGGAAAGTAAGAAAAAAGGAAAGAATGTCAGAAAAGAAAAAAGAAGAAAAAAGGAAAGAAGGAAGCAAGGAAGAAGGAAAGAAAGAAGGAAGGAGATGGAAAGGAAGAAGTAGAGATGGATGGATGGAGGGATGGAGGGATGGATGGATGGATGGAGGGAGGGAGGGAGGAAGATGGAAAGGAGGAAGGAAGGAATTAAGGAAGAAGGGAGGGAAGGAGCAAGGGAGGGAGAAAGGAAGAAAAGAAGGAAGGAGAAGAAAGAAATAAGGAGTGAGGAAGGAAGGAAGGAAGGAAGGAAAGAAGGGAGAAAGGAAGGAAGGTAGGAAGGAAGGAAAGAAGGAAGGGGGAGTTTTTCCAAAAAACTCTTGTGCAGTGTTTTTCTATCTTAGCATCTTTAAGATGTGCGGATGTCAACTCCCAGATTAGGGCTGGCTGGGGAATTCTGGGAGTTGAAGTCCACATGTCTTAAACCTGTTGGCATACTGTCTTGGGAATTCTGGGAGTCGAAGTCCACCTGGCTTAAACTTGCTGAGGCTGAGAAACATTTGCCCTGGATGATAATCAAGGCATTCAACAACTTCTCACCTCGAGCCCACCTACACCTGTGCTTCCATTGGTTCTTGTAGAGCAGGGCTCTTCAAACTTGGCCCTTTTATGACTCGTGGACTTCAACTCCCAGAATTCCTCAGCCAGGCAACGTCACCTACCTTTTAGCCAGTCTCCAAACACCTTCATATCTCCCGTGACACAACTCAGGGCTCTCAACACTTGCTGGCAACATTTGCCTGTTGACTTTTGTGTTTTGTCACACTTTTCAGCAGCAGCATCGATTTCCATTGTGAGGCTTGGAACCTGCCCAGACAAAAACCACAAAGCATTTGACCGACTGTCCTCCAGAACTTCCTTTGGGTCAACAACGAGCGCTGTCTTTCCATGGGAATATAGGAAGCAACTCCGAGCAAAACAGCCATGGATGCCACAGGTATGTTGAAGAATATTCTAAAGCAGTTCTTCTCAGCTCTGGCAACTTTATGGACTAGGTGGACTTCAGCTTCCAGAATTCTCTAGCCAGCATGTTGATTATGGAATTCTGGGGAGGTTGAAGTCCACACCACATATAGTGAGAGAAACTACTCTAAGGTCTTCAGAGGTCATTACAACTGGGGTCTTCAAACTGGGCAACTTTGTGGACTTCCATTCCCAGAATTCTGGATGTTGAAGTCCACACGTCTTAACGTTGTCCACTTTGGAGACCCCCCTACACTAGATTAGTGTTTCTTAACCTCAGCAATTTGAAGACGTGCGTCAACCGTCCCACTCAGTCATTAAGCGAAGAAGCTCCATCATCAACTCATGAAGCCTGGATGGGTGAATGACAATCTGTGGCCTTCAAATCCCCAAATTCTGGGAGCTAAGGTCCACACACCTTCATATTGCTAAGGCTGAGGAACACTGTGTTAGATCCACCTTGTGGTCCTCTCTCAACCTGAGCATTGAAGGCAAGGTGTGGATGGATGCCTACCTGGGCTTCCAGCCTCTCCAGTAGTGGCATACTTTGACAAAGATCTTGGGCACAGGCTGAACTTCCTGATTCAGAGTCATAAGACGTGCATCCATCTGGTGATAGCTGAACTGGGATTGGGAGAGTGGAAGGGTTGATGGGACCTCCATCCATCTTTGTTAGCATTGCACGTAGGCTAAAGGGTAGAGAGGATGAAGTCAAGAAAAGACTCTCCACCCTGAGTTTATTATTTTATAGATTCTGGGTCAATGCTCCTCATGATGTTATTTCATTTTATGATCAGGTTGGGAAAAACAACTGTGGGATCCGGGTCAGTCAACCGTCAAAGAGCGTCCTCATCCTGACTCTGGGCATCGTATAGCAAAGCAGTTTCCGTTAATTTAAATTAGACTTTAGGGATGGAAGAAAGTCGAGTGAGGAGAAAGGGTGAGAGGTGGGTGACGTTCGCAAAGTTGGGAGGTGGCTGTCGTGCATTTATTGAATATCACGCCTGCTAAAGTATGGCTCTACGTGCCTGGCCAGGAATTGCTCTAGTTTTACATTTTATCGTCTTGTTCCCATGATTTTCGGGCTTCACAGCTGCCCACCCTTCCATTTAAACTCAAGAGAACCAACCTAGAACTAAGGAGAAAGTACCTGACAGTGAGGACAATTAACCAATGGAACAAGCAGCCTGCAGAAGTTGTAGGCGCTCCAACACTGGACGTTTTTAAGAAAAGGCGGGACAGCCATTTGTCGGGAATGGGATAGAGTCTCCTGCTTGAGCAGGGGGCTGGACTAGAAGACCTCCAAGGTCCCTTCCAGCTCTATTCTGATTGGTTGGTTGAAATGATATAGGATCTCCTGCTTGAGCGGTGGGTTGGACTAGAAGACCTCCAAAGTCCGTTCCAGCTCAGCTCTATTCTATTCTATTCTATTCTATTCTATTCTATTCTATTCTATTCTATTCTATTCTATTCTACTCTACTCTACTCTACTCTACTCTACTCTACTCTATTCTTCTATTCTATTATCTAATTCTATTCTACTCTGCTCTGCTCTATTCTACTCTATACTATTCTATTATCTAATTCTATTCTATTATCTTATTCTATTCTATTCTATTCTATTCTATTCTACTCTATTCTTCTATTCTATTACCTAATTCTATTCTATTCTATTCTATTCTACTCTATTCTACGCTATACTATTCTATCATCTAATTCTATTCTATTCTATTATCTTATTCTACTCTACTCTACTCTACTCTACTCTACTCTACTCTACTCTACTCTTCTATTATCTAATTCTACTCTACTCTATTCTACTCTATACTATTCTATTATTTAATTCTATTCTACTCTGCTCTGCTCTATTCTACTCTATACTATTCTATTATCTAATTCTATTCTATTATCTTATTCTATTCTATTCTATTCTATTCTATTCTATTCTACTCTATTCTTCTATTCTATTACCTAATTCTATTCTATTCTATTCTATTCTACTCTATTCTACGCTATACTATTCTATCATCTAATTCTATTCTATTCTATTATCTTATTCTACTCTACTCTACTCTACTCTACTCTACTCTACTCTTCTATTATCTAATTCTACTCTACTCTATTCTACTCTATACTATTCTATTATCTAATTCTATTCTATTATCTTATTCTATTCTATTATCTAATTCTATTCTATTCTATTCTATTCTATTCTATTCTATTCTATTCTATTCTATTCTATTCTATTCTATTCTACGCTATACTATTCTATCATCTAATTCTATTCTATTCTATTATCTTATTCTACTCTACTCTACTCTACTCTATTCTACGCTATACTATTCTATCATCTAATTCTATTCTATTCTATTATCTTATTCTACTCTACTCTACTCTACTCTACTCTACTCTACTCTACTCTACTCTACTCTACTCTACTCTTCTATTATCTAATTCTACTCTACTCTATTCTACTCTATACTATTCTATTATTTAATTCTATTCTACTCTGCTCTGCTCTATTCTACTCTATACTATTCTATTATCTAATTCTATTCTATTATCTTATTCTATTCTATTCTATTCTATTCTATTCTATTCTACTCTATTCTTCTATTCTATTACCTAATTCTATTCTATTCTATTCTATTCTACTCTATTCTACGCTATACTATTCTATCATCTAATTCTATTCTATTCTATTATCTTATTCTACTCTACTCTACTCTACTCTACTCTACTCTACTCTTCTATTATCTAATTCTACTCTACTCTATTCTACTCTATACTATTCTATTATCTAATTCTATTCTATTATCTTATTCTATTCTATTATCTAATTCTATTCTATTCTATTCTATTCTATTCTATTCTATTCTATTCTATTCTATTCTATTCTATTCTACGCTATACTATTCTATCATCTAATTCTATTCTATTCTATTATCTTATTCTACTCTACTCTACTCTACTCTACTCTACTCTACTCTACTCTACTCTACTCTACTCTACTCTTCTATTATCTAATTCTACTCTACTCTATTCTACTCTATACTATTCTATTATCTAATTCTATTCTATTATCTTATTCTATTCTATTATCTAATTCTATTCTATTCTATTCTATTCTATTCTATTCTATTCTATTCTACGCTATACTATTCTATCATCTAATTCTATTCTATTCTATTATCTTATTCTACTCTACTCTACTCTTCTCTTCTCTTATCTAATTCTACTCTACTCTATTCTACTCTACTCTACTCTATTCTACTCTATACTATTCTATTATCTAATTCTATTCTATTCTAATATCCATCCAACTATGATGTTCTGCTTTTTTCCTTCAGTCATCCGTTTTACTCCATATTTTTCTTTTGTGATCCAGCCCCTCCTTTATTCCCGCCACATGACCAAATCATCTCCGTTTACTCTTTCATTACGAATCACTTGTTTTCGTGTTGAGAATTCATTCAGCTCTCATTTCTTGTTGACCCTCTCTCTTCTTTCCTTTAATATATTTGATTAAAAGGCCCCTAGCAGGTCGGTGCATGGAATTGTATGATCCTGCTGCCCTTCTAAAAATGCCAGTCCTCAAAGCAGCCATGCAATTTGGGTTACAGAATGTGCTCATGTTATTTCTTTCTTTTTTTTTTTAATGAAACTGTTGAGTTTCATTCTTTGGAATGGAGTTGGTTTTAAAGTTTGCACAAACATTTTTTTATGTTGACTCTTCAGATAAGCCCAACCAAGTTCTGTTTGAAATCTTTTCAAACATGCAGAACTTTTTTTTTTTTTTTGGCCTCGTTGTGCACGTTTTTGCACATGACTCTTCTGAATACGTGAATGTCTGTACATGCTTTTTCCTAATGTGTATTTTTTTTAAATAGCTGGCTGCGTTACAAGGTTAAGAAAAACGGCAATTGCAATGAAAATATACTTTTGGTTTGAAGATATAAAAATTATAAAAATGTCTGTATTCAGAATAACAGAGTAGGAAGGGAACTTGGAGGTCATCTAGTCCAGGGCTTTTCAACCTTTTCACCCATTGTACCACTTTTAGGAGATGGCAACATCCGAGGACCACCTGTCACCTAGCAAGGTGTCAAAAACTTGATGACTTACAACAGTTCGCTTAGTGGCTGTTCAAAGTTACAATGACACTGGAAAAAGTGCCCCCCAAGCCACAGCCAAGCAAGACACCTGCCTGCCCGCCCGGTGGCGCTCTTCCTCCTGTCCGAGGCTTTCATTGTTGTGAGCATTTCTGTTGAGGATTGGCAGCAGGGGTGGGGGGGTGTTTGGTTTTTATTCCCCCCCATCTGCTGGATGGTTGCAGCAGGTTTTGGTCCCTTCACATGACCCTGGGACACTGTGACCGTCATAAATACGAATCGGTTGCCAAGCCTCTGAATGTAAATCGCAAGACCCTGGAGAGGCTGCAACATTCCAGCTGATCGGCGCTACTTCTGGGCTCAGCAGAAGCGCCAGGATCAGCGCCGAGCTCCAGCTGGAGCCTGGCACTGATCCTGGTGCTCCCGCTAAGCCCTGACAGCCCGAAAAAGTGCCGATCAGCTGGAAAGCGGCACTGATCCTGGCGCTTCCGTTGAGCCCTGACAGCCCTGCAGCTCCAGCCGTCCCTTGCTCAGGCTTGTGCAGTGCTGCCACCTGTTCAGCTCATTCCCCTCCCCCGCTACCCCTTTTCTAGGATGCTCGCATACCACCTGCCAGGTGCCAATGTACCACAGGTGGTACCTGTACCCCTGGTTGAAAAGCCCTAGTCCAACCCCCTACTCAAGCAGGGTACCCTATATTATTTCAACCACCCATCCACCCAATCAATCAATCAATCAATCAATCAATCAATCAAAATAGAGCTGTAGGGGACCTTGGAGGTCTTTGAGTCCAACCTCCTGCTCAGGCAGGAAACCCTATACTATTTCAATCAATCAATCAATCAATCAATCAATCAATCAATCAATCAACCAACCAACCAACCAACCAATCAACCAACCAACCACCCATCTACTCAATCAATCAATCAATCAATCAATCAAAATAGAGCTGGAAGGGACCTTGGAGGTCTTCTAGTCCAACCCCCTGCTCAGGCAGGAGACCCTATACTATTTCAACCACTCACCCACCCACCCAATCAATCAATCAATCAATCAATCAATCAAAATACAGCAGGAAGGGACCTTGGAGGTCTTCTAGTCCAACCTCCTGCTCAAGCAGGAAACCCTATACTATTTCAATCAATCAATCAACCAATCAACCAACCAACCAACCAACCAATCAAAATACAGCTGGAAGGGACCTTGGAGGTCTTCTAGTCCAACCTCTTGCTCAAGCAGGAAATGTTGTACTATTTCAACCAACCAACCAACCAACCAATCAGAATAGAAGATGGAAGGAACCTTGGAGGTCATCTAGTCTAGCCCCCTGCTCAGGCAGGAAACCCTAGACCATTTCAGACAAATGGTTGTCCAGTCTCTTCTTAAAAACTTCCAGTCTTCTGAAGAGCACTTTTAAAGCTCTTGCTCTCTATGTTTTTACATTGCTGTCGTATTAAACAACACGTCCCACTGTTTGCCGTCCTACCTGATTTATTGTGTTTAGGTGCAAAACTGCCTGGTGGAATTCAGAGTTTGGAACATCCATTCTGGCGCAAGGCACGAGCTGGTGGTCCTTT